CAGTAGATTAGGTGACAAATTTCAACAGACAGTACAAGTTTGCAAAGGAAACAATTGAAAACACAAAATTCCTTGTTTGCACCACACAAACCCAAAGCACTGCCGATACCCAGAGGCCAAAGAAATAGTAAACTCTTTGTTTCACTCATTCTGGTAAAACAAGGAGTTTGCTTCCTTTTGGGAGGCCAAATGGAATGAGCACTGAAAGGAAGAAAATTCCATTGTTATAAAATTTTGTTAGAAAAAAGACTGTCACCCTCTGAAAGACTTTTGCCTTGACCAGTCGTCTTGTGGAAGCAAATCTCCGAATTGAGTCTATCTTTATTTTTCCATCCTTGACGTTAATCTCAGAATTGAGTCTATCTATAATTTTCAATTTTGAAATTCTAATCTAATATTTATCTGAGAACTATTCTCTGCTTCTATTTCTGGAACTATTTGGAATTCATCAGGTCAGTGCTTCTTTTGTAAAGTCTTTTTTTTTTCAATTATTTATTGTATCGTTCCTGAGTTCACTGTCTTCCTCCTGAGCTGTCTATCCTTCTCGATCCGCCTTATATTCATAAGCTTTGTACATACTGGTTGTAAATTGGAAAAAATAAAGTCTTACATCTCAGAGTCACTCCTCTCACAAAACTTCTTACTCCTCACCAACCTAAACAGCTGCTGCACACCCTCACCAACCTTCTCGCATTCCTACTGCTACTAGCGTAGCACACGGTTCCAGCTCCAGAAGGGGACTTCTCAGTCCCCAGTTAAGGTTGACACAAACGACATGTCTCCTTGACTGCTTCAAGTTGCGACGACCTCGACATCGCCTTATTCCCAGCAAATATATACATGAGGTCGTCAGACGACAAGAGCCACCTTTCTTGCTTATTTTTAAATTGCACTGGTTAATTAGTGGCCAAGAAAGATTTTACGAAAGCAACCAAAAATGTCACCTCTGCAAAATAGTCAAAGATGCTGCATGTACGTAAGCACATATGTAGCAAAACCACAAGTCCAGCTTGTGTCGATTTATAGCCTTAACTAATCGGCAGACAAAGGTGATAATCATACAGCAAATTTAAAGTGAGCATCCGCCTTGTGTTCACAAGTTTTGTACATAATAGCTGTACATTTTTTGGTACTGTAGAAAAAATAAAGTTTGTCACTTCGGAGTCACTCCTCTCACAAAATTTTTAAGCTACGTGTCGTGGAATTATATAGATTAAGATTAAGAGCTCAAAACTAAGAACCCTGTAGAGAAAAGAAATAACGATTTTGCTAAAAGAGAATTACTGCAATAAGAGAGGTTCTTTAGAGCTTCAAGTTGATTTACATTAAGATTTACTGCAGTAAATATAAGTTTAGCCCTTACAGTAAAATTGGTGTCACGAGCCGGGAACACCGT